GGCAGGAGCACGCGGGGCGGGGGTGTCAGGGACGCGACGTAGCGGAGCGCAGAGGGGCGTTCGCAATCGCGATGTTGAGGAACCTGCGCGCGGGGCGCAATGTCAGTGCCCCTAGGTTGGGGGCTCCCAGACCCTCCCACCCCAACCCCAAGGGCGAGAGGGCGGGGCAGGATCGCGACGGTGGGAAGGTTCGGAGCCCGAACCTGGAGAGCTGAGGGGTCACGACCGCGACCAGAGGGATCTCTGGTGCGGGAATCCGGGGGGCGGAACCGGGGGTGCCCTGTCGGCATTCTCGGGGCGCCCTCCGCTGGGCAGAGAACAGAAGCCCCGGGAGGGGAGTGCGGAGGAGAGGAAACCCGAGGCGGGCGGGGCAGGAGGGGGTGCCCGAGGGAGGGGATCCCCAGAAAGGATAGGGTGGGGCGAGGCGGGAGGGGGTGCCCGAGGAAGGGGATCCCCAGAAAGGATAGGGTGGGGCGAGGCTGTGGCTTCTGCAGGAGGGTGGGCGCGGGAAGCGCAGCTGTGCGGGAGCCTGGGCGCGGCAGGTTACGGCCGGAGCACCCGGGCTCGGAGGGCAGAGCGCCCGGCGGGGGACCCGAGGTGGCCGGTCGGCGGTGGGGCCGAGATTCGGGGGCTGTCTCTCCCAAGGGAACGCAGCCCCCTGGGTGCAGTGGGGTCATGGACACCCAAGAGGGCAGTCACTCGAGGGAGCAAGACCGCGCAACCCCAGACCGGGCAGGTGGGGAGCTTGCACCCCGCAAGCTCCGGAAGTGTTGGCAGCTTGAGCGGGGAGCCTGGGGCGGGGACCACCCCCCTGACCTGGAGGGGACCTGAAGGCGCTGGGGTCCCTCCGCCACCAACTGACAAGGGGCAGACCCAGAAGGGCTCTTTGTTGCACCCTGTGCTGCTGAACTGGGTTAGAAGTGATTTGAGACAGGGACCAGATGAGAGGAGCCTGGGTTTGAAAGAACAGTTACGGGGTGAGATTTCAGAGGGACTGGGAAGATCCACCGTGTGTGCGCCTTGGGCGTAACTCATAATAAGGGCCTGTGTAATTTTTTTTACCCACATATGCTACTTGCTCCCCACTCTCCTGTACTCTGTGAGAGGCTGTTTCTGAGTAAAATCTGGAGGAAAATCAGCAATGTACACACACATAGACACACACATGCACCGCCCACAAATGCACTGCATTCCTCAGCCAAGTAAACACCTGGAGTATTTGGATTGCTTGTGCTGATGAGGGCTCCCTTGCTGAAGTTAGTGGAAGTTATCTACTTGGAAGGTGCACTGCCTTTGCCCTCTTAAGGTGTGCACAGTCTGTACCCACTCCTGAGGTGTCCAGGTCTGTTGGCAGGAAGCCAGGTTGCTTAGGCCCTCAGTGGATGGCTATCCCAGTGTGTGTCTATAGATAAACAAATGGCACAAATGACCAGCCTATTATCTGTTTGTTTGTTCTCTGTTGTTTGTCTTCGGTGCCATCTTCCTTTCCGTAGTTTATTTGGTATAACAGCTAATTCAGGAAGACCCAAGGTTCTATTATGTGGATTTCTCTACTGAAAGTTTCCTAGGCTTTGTGGGAGCCGGGGGAAAAAGGTGCCCCCCACTCCTGTCCTGGTTATAGATCCATCTTCTGACACGCACTGAGATTTGAGCTTCTTGGGAGCATCCAGGACTATGTTGGCAACTGGCATTTGTTGGGCCCCAATTTTTTTTTTCTTCATGTAAAGGAAATCTCTTCAGTAACTATTCAAGTTAACAGGAAAATGATCTATGCTTTTTTACAAGCATCATTTCAGGACAAGCTTTTTTTTCATTAAGGGGGTGGTCAGAACCTTGCCCAAAATCTGCATTATCATTATTGCCGCAGAATATTTATTCACTTGGACATAAAGCCGGCTGATTCTTCCAATTCTTTATCCAAATGTTAAAAGAAATATGCCAGCACTTGTACATTCAAGTGAGTAGTTCTCCCCTTCAAAAGCCTCGTCTTGGCAAGCTGTGTGCTAATTCTGGGGATGCTGTCATTGCTGAGAATAATTTGGGAGCTCGTGCTTTGGCACTGCCTTCAGAGTTTGCAACACATTTAACTGAATTGCCTCCTGGTGCCAAACCTTCCTCAGTTGGGAAAGAGCCAAAGACCATGTGGGGCCAGCTGTGGCCTCTGAGGTGGGGAGCCAAGGTTGTAATAGGAAGTATGCCCATTAATGTAATGAGAGTCCTCTTGAAGGACTGGCGGTTCCAAGACGGGCATCCAGTAAAGGCATGTATATGTGTTTAGGATTGAAAGTAATCGAAGTGCAACCTTCCTTTGGGTGTTTATGCTCTAGTATGTGTGTAAAAGAATTGGGCCTATTGCCCAGCGAGTGTGGCTCAGTGGTTGAGAGTCGATCTATGACCCAGGAGGTCAGGGATCCATTCTGGTCAGGGCACATGCCTGGGTTGCAGGCCGATCCTCAGTAGGGGGCATGCAGGAGGCAGCCGATCAATGACTCTCTCATCATTGATGTTTCTCTCTCTCCCTCTCCCGTCTTCTCTGAAATAAAATATATATA